CACTTTAACCGTGAGATAAAATATAAGCTGTGATGAGCTCTATAACCGACTATCATATAAAAACCGCAATGAATGAACGTTACCCGATTAGAGATGAACGTTTGACAAATGCACGTTATCTGATGTACACAGTTATACACGATTGACGAACGCACGATACACGGTTAAGAATGAATGATTGATGAACGCACGATACACGCACGATACACGCACCATACACGATTAAGAATACACGATGCACGCACGTTACACGGAAAATACACGGAACGATGAATGATGAGCGAACGATTGGTACACGCACGATACACGCACGATACACGCACGCAACACGCACGATACACGATGAACGCACGGAATAATGGTCAGTTTGAATTTTAGAAGGTCTGTATCAACTTGAACTGTGATATTATTTGTTTTACTATATTTTGTATATCATATTCAATTCTTTATCTTTTATTAAAATTACGAAGTTTGTATTTGATTTAATCAACAATAAGCCTGGAATTCAAGCATGTTAAGTGATATTTCTTATCAACATTTTAATATAGATTCTACTGTTGTGCATGGGTTACTATATAAAAATACAACAGTACAAAAGCTATATATTGATTGGAGAAATGCACCTATAACTAGCAAGCAAACAGAAGGAGAATTTATTTCTCCTGTGTTTATGCCCCGCCTACAATAATAGAGGGGCATTAATGTTTTCCTGTCTGTACATCTGTCGCTCCGTCTGTCCATAGTTCATCCATCCTTTATGTTAAAGTTTGTATTTAAGGTACGTAAAAGTTTTGGTTTTAGGTAGTTTGTGGTCACATAAACATGAAACTTAGTTAAATGTTTAATAATTACTTTAAACTTACAAATTTTTGTCAGCGATTTATTTTTGTGGCTATGGCGAGTAGAAAAATAACGCAAATATAAATCGTAATGAATAGATTTAACTTAGATTTTCTCACATATGAGTACATCAACAAACTTATAAAATCACGAAAATATATCATCATTAAGTTACTAAGTCAGCTAGAAAGGGCTATATAGGAAAGAAAGTATCATAAATAGTTTGGTTTACAGTATGCCAAGTCAGGGTTTTTACCATGATATTATGGTTCACTGAACATGGAAATGTGATCGTGTGAGCAGGGCATGGTGTCCTATGGACACATATTCTTGTTCTTCCCTCGCGACACAGAAAAACTTGTCATAGTCTGTGTGTGCATCCGTCCTTCCATTCAGCCTTGTAACTTGTAAGCGCTATGATGTGTACAATTCTTTTCAGATTTATATCAGAAATTTATGTCAGCAATGTCTCAGATGAGTTTGAAAATTAGTGCCAATCAAATATTTGTAAAAAGTTATGCCCCTTGGAATCATTAATTATGTGGAAAATTGTATTGTAAGCACTCTAAAGTGTACAATTTTTGCCAATTTTTTTAAAACTTATATCAAAGGTTTATTTCAACAATGTCTAGGACTAATTCGAAAATCAGAGCTAATCAACTATTTTTAAAAGAGTTGTGCCCCTTGGAAATATTAATTAATATATGAAAATTGCATTGTAAGTGCTTTCCAGCATATTTATAAAAAGTTTAAGAAAAAAAAATTATTAGTTTTATAGTTATTGCCCTTATATAGGTAAAATATGTTCAATGCAAGGGACATTGGAACTCTGTTCCTTTTTTCTTCCTTTTTTGGGGGGTTATTTTAAGATTTGTTTGTCTTAACCTGCAACAATAGTCACAGGATGGGAGATCCTTCTAGAGACACCATAAACTATTTGTAAACAGCTTTATATTTCAGTAGGTAGAACACCCTGATACTTCGTGTCTTGTTAACCTTACATTCTGAAATGTCTGTGTTGTATATGTGTTGTCCTAGACGTATGCCTCAAACTTTTTTTCTGATCACATGATTTCTCACTTATTGTTAGGAAAAGCATAACCATATTTGTTGTATAGAATCATTGCAGTGTCTCAAGGACGTATATTAGTGTTAGTTATACGTCCTTGAGTGTCTACATGATCGCCAAATAAGGTTCATCTGACATTGTCAAAGACATCATTTCATATTTCAGGAATCAGCGTTAAGTTTTCATGGTTAAGTCAGTTTTTAATATGGTAAAGCAGTATGACAACTTAATTTGGACGGTGTACTGAATGACTGTAAGGTCTGCACGTCTTACTATAGGGGTTCATTTGACCTTTTCCTCGATTTCAGGGTTCACTTGTCAACTTTAACTTGTCATCTGTTTCTCGAATACTATAAGCGAAACGTCAACTATGTTTGATGTAAGGGATGATGTTAAGGTATGCATGTCTGTCTGGCAGGGCTTAATTGACCTTGACCTTATTTCATGGATTATTAGTCAATTTCTATAAGCAAAATGTCAACTGTATTTGGCGTATCGAATGCACGTGTGTCATTGTGTTGGACAATTTAAACACATAACCTGGGAACAGTATATACATGTTCCTGACATAACATAGATTATGTTGCACCAGCAATTCAATTTGAATAAAAGCTCCACCACTGACTGAGAGAAATAAGCTACTTATTATAATAGTTAAACAAATGTCTAGATTTTGAGCTCCACTCAACCTGTTGGTGCTTGCTTATTCCATAACTTGGCGTCCGTCGTCTGTCGTCGTCGTCGTCGTCTGTTGTCCGTTAACGTTTACAAAAATCTGCTCCCCTGAAACTACAGAACCAAATTTAACCAAACTTGGCCACTATAGCTCTACCTATTTTCTGTTTACATCATAACACGCAGACAAATTTTTATAGCCTTAGAGTGATTGTCCTAAAATTAAGAATTTTACCAATAATTGCGTTTTTGCCTATTATCTTGAAAACTATTATAGACCGAGAGGGACACTAAAAGCAAAAATGATCGGCAAGACAAGATCTACAAGTAATTTAACATAGCAGAAATCGTCCGTCGACTTTTTATTAGAGTTATAATTGCTAATTATTTATTAATATTTTGTTTGCCTTTTTGCCATTTATCTTGAAAACTGTAATAGATAGATAACAACTTTAAAAAAAATATTTACCCAGTGGCGGATCCAGAGGGGGGCGTAGAGGGCGTACGCCCCCCCCCCCCTTTGCATGAACTTTTTTTTTTTTTTTTTGTAAAATGATTAATCAGACTAGACTTCGTGAACTTTGCCATTACCCGGCCGTGTATTTAATTTTTATGCGACAATTCTTTACTTATAAAGATATTTTTCGCTCGTATTTACTGTAATATATTATTGATTATGTCAAAGTCATGTGATTCGCCACCCGATCCTGCAATATTAGCCACTATTAGTGGGAATCTATTAGTAAAATTAGTCTGCTAGTAACACTAACAACAGTATACTTTTATACTGTACAGTATAGATGTTACCTGCTGGTAGTTATAACAAAATATGTTCAATTCGGGGACATCAAAAATCATGACAAGGGTTGTTTTGATTCAAAGAAAATTGCGTGTTGAATGGCACCAACATGATTTTCATAAGGAAAAATTTCCAAATCAGTCACACAATACACGAGAAGAGGTAAAAGAAGGGCTTTGCTGTCTGATCCTTTTCGGGTAAAAAATGATAAGCCGTGAGTTAGAAATATCGGCGTCACAACTCAGGAAGTAACGTCAACTAGTCAGGCACAGACAGCATTGAAAGAAGAAACAAAACAGAAATATTCACATGACATTCAGATTGGTCATAGTAATCAGCTGGTAATGATATTGAGGGTAATGAAATCATTTTTAGAAAATGTTAAACGAGTCGACACAAGTTTTCCAGATGTACTCGGTTTTACATACAGTGCTGTTTGCAACGCCGTATCCTTCAATTTCATTAAAGACATTAACTTGAACGGTGTATAAAATGCTTGCAAAAGTGAGAAAACAACATAAACGCCAACGTGTAAAAAGATTTTATTTAAAAAATTGATTGATTAAACGAGATTACTCCGGAAGAATTCCGATTTTGATTCCGTTTTATATTTTATTTTAGCTCTCTACGTGTGAGGTAGAAAAGGTAAACAAAAACAAAGTTTCTTTTTTTCTCTCTTTTGAAATACGCTATATATAAAAAAAACAGGCAGCTAATATTAGTACCTATTGCAAGATTGTCATATTTACATAAAAGTGCAATCAAATTCTAGAATTAACAAATAAAATTTGTTCGGTGTAGAAAAAAAAACCTTTACCGGGATTGCGGCTTGCCAAACTGAAAACACCATCAAATGGCATCATACTGAAGGTGTGCCTATATTGAAGTAGAAGTAGATAATAACTTTATATAAACCCTTAAGTGATTAATTGATGTCTACTCTTAAACAGTGATATCTTTAGATAGATATTTTAGATTTTAAAGTGTTGATGCAGTCTAAATTGACATTAAGCCCAATTTTATCGTCAAGAATGTAAATAATGTACAGTGATATTGGTGGAAGATATTTTTATTCATGTTGTTAAATACACTACTCGGAAGAGGTGTGCCTACATTGGCAGAAGCTATATAACAAGATACAGATTGGCAGAAAATATAAAGATACAGATACATGGACCTGCTAACGCACAAATTCTTCATTAGAGAAGACATTTAAGAACTAACATGACGGTACCCAAATTGCACCTATTTTGACAGTTTTTTCACCTACGTTTTTTTATGATGCAGACAAAAGTTTCCAATCTGTGTTTATTTTGTAGATGTATACTTGTTTACTATATAGTTACACCTATTTAATTTTGAATCCATATTGAATCATTGAAAAATGAGTATGAACCGACCTCCAAACGATCCAGGATTCCATTACGAGGAGTACCCAAATTGCATCGGCCAGCCGGCCATTCTTAAACTCACATCCTTAAGAATTGAATAACAGCTAGATGTTTTGTTCCATTTCTTCAAATATTTAGAACAATTTGACATTAGTCCATGCTTACTATCCATTTAATAAGAAATGATGACTTTTTGAGAACTTCGCATGACGACGATTACGTAGATTTACTTTTTCCAGTGAAAGCTTCATCTGTTGATATTTACTGTGAACGTTTTGTGTATATTTAAATATATTCAGCTATGTTAAAAGACATGTGTAATGTCAAATCATAAAAATACTAAGTGTTTATTCTTAAAGAAAACTTGTAAGATTTCCACAGCTGTTTTTGTTGAATATGTGCAATTTGTGTACTCAGTGCAATTTGGGTACTGTTACGTTATATCTGTTCTCTACAGAGCTAAGTATTTAGTGACAATCTATTTTCGTATTGGATAATGTATCTGGTCTAAAAAAAATAGTTTGCCACAAGTATTTAGTGACAATTATCTATTCCTGTATGAGATGATGTATCTGGTGTGATTTTTTTATTATTTTACCACTGAATGAATCACCAATCAAACTATATAAATAGATTGAAGTTAAAAAAAAATATCTGGAAAATTAACTGAATCCTTAGACAGAATGAATAATATAATTATAACTTTTTTGTTATGCCCAACTGCTAGTTGAAGGGGCATTAACTTTTACTGTTGTCATGATGTCCATCCATACATATGTCTGTCTGTACAGAAATTGGTTTCCATTTTCTTACTTTATTTGCACTCAATTATTTTTTTCACAGAACACAGATCAATTTATTCGAATTTGAGTGGCATCACTTTGACCGTTCGTGAGTTATGCCCCTTTATTAACGCAAAAATTGCTGAATCTTTCTTTTCTAGTCTCTAACTTAAGTTTGTCCTAACAAATGTTATAAAACTTATACACTACTTATTACCACAAAACACAGATCAAGTTTGAATTTGACTCCCGTCACTGTAACCGTTCTTGAGTTACATGTATTTATGCTCCTTTATTATTAAATGGAAAAAATTGCCAAATCTGTGGTGGATCCGACAAACTGTTGTATACCGATTTTATTTATTTAGATATGATTTACAAACTTCAGAAAAGGTTGAGAAGCATTTTAATTCTAGGGAATTCCAACCTGAAGCAAGTTGTACCAATGGAATTGATGGAAGCCCCCATTAGAACACTGTGCATAACTGGGGTTGCAACTTCACCATCTCATACAGCATCTAGTTCATCAAAGATGACCTATGCTGAAGTGGTGAGACTTCCTGTGCATGCAACAGGTCAGACCAAACTAAAACCACGTTTGATATTAAGGTATGAAAATAATGTCTAATATTATAAGAATGAATGGAAAATATGCCGGAGGAATGTCTGTCACTTTTTGTTTTTATACACCCTACAAACAAAGTTTTGGGAGATACATAAACAAAAATATTATATTTCTCCTATTTCTTAAGAATTATATATATATAAACAGTCACATATTTAAACGGTCGTGTCGTCTGATTTTTTAAACAGAATTTTCAGATTTACTTTACATTTAATGAACAGCATACATGTAGATGTACTCGAACTTAAGTTATACACTGCATGAGAAAGGGTCCCGGTATTTTGATTGCAGGATTTGAAAAAGTTATGCGATACTTATTTATAATAGTCTATATGTTGGAAAGTCATGCACGCTTAAAATTCTTTTATGAGAGTGACACATTGTTCATTTTCTAAAATAAAACAGGATACACTGTAGATACAAGACAAAATGTATACTGTACTGAACAAATCAAGCGTAAGAAAATAAATCATGTAGACAAATGAAATATACTTGGAAATTGCCCGAACAAATATTGCCTCTACAGCTGCCCCAAAGAGCCCATTCTTAACGAAATTTGCAGAAAGGGTCTTTTACATATATGTACTATAGTTTAGTTACTATCTCCCTTTACGTTTAATATGACGGTGCTGGCTGTGAAATTTAATAATAATTAAACTACAAGCCATCTGCTGTACTGTGGATTCACTTATTTTCGTGGGTACCAATTTTCGTGGATTGCGGAAAAACTTGCATTTTCGTGGATATTTGATTTCGTGGTTTTGCAAAAGTCTTCACAAACCCTTATTGAAAATATGTTATTCGTTGAACATTTAATTTCGTGGTTTACCTGTACCCACGAAATCCACGGAAATTGGTATCCAACGAATAATAATGAATCCACAGTATTTCAAAAGGCTATCTGTTTCTTCAGAAAATAACCATACTTTGTGCAGAGATTACATTTTTGTAACATAAAGAATCAACAATACTGTTATACAATTCTATAAGGAATAATAAAGGAATCATCATTCAAAAATGTTAAAGAGGTACACCAAAAAATTAAGAAAGTTTTCCCCGTTTTCAAGCAACTCGACTTTTAACTTAATTGCAATAAAGATTTATAATAAATATAAAAATAGCAGTGCTGGATGGGGGATTTCCTTGTGTGAGTTGACTCAAAGTGCTAGTTTATTCAGGTAACACACATTTTATATTTGTAAATCCAGTTTTTATGTGAAGTGTACATATCACAAAAATAAAAGCTAATATTTTAAAAAATATCATATTTTTTGTTATTGGTTAATAAAGTTATTTTTTTTTTAATTTTGATAACAGTGTATGGAAATGAAGAAATCAATTGGAGTCCCTACATTCAAAAGGAGGAGTGTGTCTTCAGTTGAGATTGGTAGAAAAAAAGAAAAAACAGTTAGCATATTATTTTGAATAGTATGACTACAAATGGCCATTTATAATAGTATATATATATATATATATATATATAGTCATTAATAATATTATACCATAAATGATGGCCGGAGAACATAGCAGAACATCAGATAGTATTTTGTACATTTAATGTTTTTTTTTATTTGGCTGATAAATCCAACATTGACATGAATGAAATCAAAATTTTCTTTTCGATTTATACCAGGTACATGCATGATAAATGTTATATACATTTTCCAAAATAAAGTGTTTATAAAATCTATGATGGAAAATAAATGCTGTATTTTTTATTCATAAATATCAAATGTTAAATAATTAATCCCCAAAAAATAAAACTTAAAATTCTTAATTCTTAATGTAGTCTCACAGATGAAGAAGTGGCACTTATGAAACAGGGTTGGTCATTGTTGCATAACTCTTTATTTGTTTATCTTTTGTTTTGCTCCACTATGCATTATTTTATTTGTTAACAATTTTACAAAGGGCTTCTGCAGAAAAAAAATACAAAGGTGTTTGAGTTGGAACTACATATTTATTTTAAGATACCTACATAAGAATGATAATTATTTTGCCATTAAACCTTAAAATGTGTATTTCTGAACCCGTTTGTACTTTTTCCTGGTAAATCTCTTACAAGAATGCATGGTGTTATTGTTTTGAACATCTAGAAACATGGCCCTATTACACATGATACATCTTCTTTCAAGAGGAATTAAATGATATTTAGATAAGATAGATATGCAAGTTACATGTAAAAAGTAAAGTAACAAAAATACTGAACTCCGAGGAAAAATCAAAATGTAAAGTCTGTTATCAAATGGCAAAATCAAAAGCTCAAATACATGAAGCGAATCAGAAAACAACTGTCATATTCCTGACTTGGTACAGGCATTTTTTATGAAGGAAATTATGGATTTAACCTGGTTTTATAGCTTTTTTTAGTAAAACCGTATTTAAAGAATAATAAGATCGTTAGAAACAAGGCAATTGACCTAATCATCATGCACAAAAGTAACTGCACGGTATTATGCTTTGGTCACTATAATGCATGGAGAGATTATGAATTGTGTCTATTTGATACAGCACTGATACAAAAAAAAACTAAAAAGAGATAATGAATGGCCATTGATATAATTTTGAAGTGGACTCACTTACACATGAGCTGAAAAAAATTAAAACCTACCAACAATATTACTTAATGATTGTACAACTACTGAAATCCCTTTTCTTTTAGTTTAAGACTGTTTAATTTTTTAGTTACTTTCATTTCATATTTAATATAGTGCATTTTTAATAGATACAGGGTAAAGACAAGTGATCTAGTATTTGGGGTCACAGAGGATGTGGCTGTAGTCCTACCAAACAAAGCTTTACTGGAACATAGTTTTTATCAGGTATTGTTGTATATATGTAAGACTCAGATCGACGTCCAGTCTCTAATTGATGTCCGTTCCTCAAATCGACGTCCAAATCTGACGTCACAATAAAATAACATTCCAAATCGACGACCAATTTTATGTCCCTCTAATCGACGTCTTTTTTGTTGTTCTCAAATCCACGTCAATTTTTTGGCTTCTCTAATTGACGTCCGTTTTATGGACATGTCGCAGTGAAATCTCATCTTTATCAAAGGTGGGTTGAACCTATAACTCAAAACGGTTGTTGAAAAATATAACCAAATTATAATACTTTTCAACAATTTGCCGTACGTTTTTATTCTTTCTATTGTTTGAGTCTGTATAGATGTACTGCCCTCTAGATATCTTTTGATTATCTTTGTCTTTGGGTTGTTGTCTCATTGTCGTACAATGTATACCCACATGTATTTGTTTATATGAACAATAAAAGAAAACGACAACGTAGGTCAAGAATATGAAGGTCTTTCACCAAAATATTATTATGCATGTACATGTAAAGTAATAATGATGTCTGTGATCGTCTTATTGTCATTTTCTGATGTTAAATTTGTCCTTTTATTAGCTCACCTAGCCCGAAGGACCAAGTGAGCTTTTCTCATCACTTGGCGTCTGTCGTCGTCGTTAACTTTTTTCATTTTGAACTTCTTCTAGAGAACCACAGAATGGAATGAAACCAAACATGGCATGAATGTTTCTTATGAGGTGCTGACCAAGTGTTGTTACTTTGAAGCCGATCCATCATCCAAGATGGCCGCAGCGGGGGACTTAGTTTAACATAGGACCCTATGGGAAATACATACAAATGTCTTCTTTTAGAGAACCACTGAATGGAATGAAACCAAACATGGCATGAATGTTCCTTATGATGTGTTGACCAAGTGTTGCTACTTTGAAGCCGATCCATAATCCAAGATGGCCACCTGCTGGGGACTTAGTTTAACATAGGACCCTATGGGAAATATTTACAAATGTCTTCTTTTAGAGAACCACTGAATGGAATGAAACCAAACATGGCTTGAATGTTCCTTATGAGGTGCTGACCAAGTGTTGATCCATCATCCAAGATGGCCGCCAGCGGGGGACTTAGTTTAACATTGGACCCTATGGGAAATACATACAAATGTCTTCTTTTAAAGAACCACTTCTTTTAGAGAACCACTGAATGGAATGAAACCAAACATGGCATGAATGTTCCTTATGAAGTGCTGACCAAGTGTTGTTACTTTGAAGCCGATCCATGATCCAAGATGGCCACCAGCTAGGAACAGTGTTTAACAAAGGACCCTATGGACAATACATACAAATGTCTTCTTTTAGAGAACCACTGAATGGATTGAAACCAAACATGGCATGAATGTTCCTTATGAGGTGCCGACTAAGTGTTGTTACTTTGAAGTTGATCCTTCATCCACGATGGCCGCCAGCGGGGGGACTTCCTTTGACATAAGACCCTATTGGAAATACATACAAATGCTTCTTCTAGAGGTGCACTGAATGGAATGAAACCAAACATGGCATAAATGTTTCTTATGAGGTGCTGATGAAGTGTTGCTACTTTGTTGCTGATTTACTGTTCAAGATGGCCACCAGGATTTTTTATTAAATTACAGGGCCAATATTAAACCAAATTTGGCCTCACTCATTATTAGGGTATCTGTTATGATTTTAATCTATTTTAACATGATTTCCAAAACCAAAGTAGAATCAGGTGAGCGAAACAGGCTCTTGAGAGCTTCTAGTTTTGATACCAATAAAAGAAAACAGTAATTGTTTCGGTAAGCTACTAGTTTTTGATGAAGGTAAATCAAGAAAAGTGCTTCGTACACATTAAATTTATAACGTGTTGTTTTCATTTATTTTCACAAAAAGACAAAAAGATACAGATAATATAAACAAAGATCAATTTGAAAATAAATGATTCAATGAAATTTATAGACATTGCGATGAGAGGAGACTCTCATCGATCAGACGTCGTTTTTGTGATTCATAACGTCACATTGGACGTCAATTAGAGGGTTAAAATATTGGACACTGATTTTAGAACGTGACGTCAAATTTGGACGTCGATTAGAGACCGGACGTCAATCTGAGTCTAACATATATTTAATGACTTGTGCTGATATATATAAATATATATATTGAACTGCATAAATATATCAGATCTCTGCATTTCCATCCATTAATAGTGTTACTTCAAAACCAAAAGACAAAATCATATAAAGAATATATTTGGACTACATTACAATGTATCTTGAATGCATTTATTTAACTATGTAATATTAACTTCAGGTTTGATAATATTAAAATGTTCTTCAGCATCAATTATCATAGTTTGCTCATAAACTATTGTCTTAATGCTGAAAAATCTGATTTATAGTAATAGATTGTTTTAACTTAATATAGACTCACATAAAAAAGCAACTGCTTGAACCCATATCAATGCAGCCTACGAAGAAAATGTGTGTGATGAAGAAAGAAGAAAAGGTACACATTTTATTTATTTTAAACATTTCTGCCCAATTCATAATGCAAAGCATTACATATTAAAGTATGTTATTTTTTTAGTTCAGAGTTCTTGTTTAATGCTATTCTTGGTATATATTTCCACTTTCACCGAATTAAGCCATCGTAGTATGAAACTTTTTTGTATTCAGAGATGTGTGTTAATATTTCCACTTTCACTGAAGCCATCGTAGTAGGAAACTTTTTTGTGTTCAGAGATATGGGATATATGCAATAGTTGATCATTTAATTAAATTCATGGTGATTATTGTTGCAGAGCACCTTTAATTGTCCTGTTTGTCCAGTGATGTGCTTAAAAGAAGACTTTTTGATAGATCATGTTATTTTGGCCATACTAAAAAAATAAAAAAAGGTTTGATTGATAATGTCATATATTACATGAAACTACAGCCTTCATTCAAACACTCGGCATCTTCCCAAAACAAAAATGAAACATTTGATAGATTAGCGATTCAAAGAACTCAAGGACTCAAGGACGTTGAACCGAAAAACAACTCATAACCAATAACTATCACGTAAGAAAATGCTTGTAAATATTTAAAAAGTGTGTACATGACATTTGAAAAAAAGAAAGCGTGTATTACACAATTGAATAGGTAACTATGGATACATGTACTTTTTATCATATAACCAATTGGAATGTTACACCATCATTTCCCAGTCAATCATATTCATGCAATTTTTTATTCACTCCTTGCAGTGTAATTCAAGAAATATCTCTTAATGTGAGAAATAGACAACATGCTATAAACATGAGAAAATAGATTTAATTTTCTAAGGCTTGACACATTTATAAAATGATCAACATAGAATAAAGAATGGAAACGGGTAATGTGTCAAAGAGACAACAACTCAACCAAAGAGTAGAAAACAGCCCAAGGCCACCAATGGGTCTTTAATGTGCACTATTATATGATTGTTATAAGCAAAAAATAAATAAGAATTTATGTTCTTATGCCTTCATTTATTTTGTAGGCAGAATTCAGACAGACAGAGATTCGTCATTTCAGGTTAGTTATATATACATTCAGAATACATCACACCATTTGACAATATGGTAAATTACTTAAAGGATGTTTTCTACTCAGTTTCAAAATATCAAGCTTTTCAGAACAGTGGTAAATATTGATAGGAGATTAATAAACTCACTCACTCACTCACTCACAACTAAAAGAGCTAAAATACTTAAAGGACTCTGTTGTTTATGCTTGTTTTTGAGATATAAGCTATTGAAAATTTTCAGGGAAAAATTCTCTCTTGAATTATGATATCTTTATCATTGACAAATCTTACTTCACAAACACTATTACAAAATGCTAGGATGCTAAAATTACAAGAATTTGATAAGATTTTTACAAATGGCTTCTCTCCGGCATAATAAAGATTTATGAAAAGAAAAATGAGTGAAGTGGCAAAAATAAATTTTGGTTTTCAAATGGACAGAACTAGAGGAATTCCAAAATCTGACAATAATTTAAAAACCTGACTAGCAAACATCTTTAATTAATATGGATTTAATTCTGCTGTATGGTGTTATTTATATTTGAACTTGGGGAAGATTTATAGAAAACAGGTGTTCAAATTGGTGTTGGTCCGAGGTCCATGACCTTCCATTTACTGGTTTGGACCTTCCCACCGGTAGTTAGTTACACCCGATGTACTTTAATATATTTGCAGTTTAAAAAAATTACAAAAACATATTGAGCAAAAATATGAAAATTTAGTATTAAAATGATCTTAATATATGCAACTATACTGAAAGGGAACTTATGTGGTTACTTACATTCTTTACCCTCGTGACGGGTTGACCTTTAAGTATAATTGGTCAAAGGTCAGGCTGGACCTTCCTTTGCCTAAAGTGAATTTGAACCCGTGGAATAAAAGGACATACAGGTATCAACAAGCATTTAATTCTTTTTTTATGCCCGCCGTAGTGGAGGGGTCATTAAGTTTTACCCTTGTCCGTTGGTACGTCCCAAAGTTAATTGGCTTCTGTTCTCTAACTTTAGTTTGCCTCAACCAAATGGTTCACTTTTACCGTTCTTCAGTTATGTCCCTTTATAACTTTATATGATGTGCAAGCGGGGGCATCATCTGTGTCCATCTGTGTCCCATGGACACATTCCCCATTTATTTTTAAATACATCATATATGTAGTGTGAGTGGTCAATTTCAATATAATTTGCTTTTTCTTTTTATTAGATACCAAATAAAGAAAATGCTGTTGAGGAACAGGGGAGTTTCTGTGATGAGAATGATACACAAAGAGCATTTGGTAGTGTATAATAGATGATATTTTTTTTTAATTGGATACAGTAAATAACAATATTTTTGTATACATTATTGTCACCATTTTCAATCTGACAACAGACTTGAATTTTAAATTAAGTTTAAATAGGCATTACATGTATTTACATTTGCACAAACAAATATGTTGATAGGTTTGATTTCTTTCAAGAAAAGTGCTATTTCTGCATATACTGCCTCTTTAAAAGTCTTACTTTTGAATATAGTTTATGTATAAATATATAAAAAAATCTTAAACATGGTGATTTGTGTTTGTAAAAAGTTCTTTTTATATTATATAAATTATTGCAGTTAATCATTCACTATTAATGTACTTTTAACATGTTTAAGCAATCTTTAGTTGTTGAAATTGTAATTTTTTCAAGTTTTTTACCTTTTTTCATTTATCTGACTAAGTCAATCAAGTTAAAGAGTGTGTATATAATGCAACTGAAAACTCTTTATCTCTGTTCTGTATCTAATAATATAAATATATATCTATGTGTATATTGTTTCAGAGTGTAATGAAGTTGAGAGTAGTATTTTAACCAAAAGAACATCTGCCTTAACAACAGTGAAGGTTTTAGCGAGCAGGTGCTATTTGGTGATGTTGAAAGAAATCCAGGACCTACAATGGTATCAATCACCCCAAAAAAATGCTATGTTTGAGACTGAAATTTATTTAGGATTATTTGATCTGAAAAAAATACTTTTAATTTGAGACATATAAACTTAACTCATTGGCACTCATACCACAACTTCTTATATCTATTAACAACTTCATTAAAACCCATTTAATAATTCAGGCGTATTGGATAATGTTTAAATTCATCTTTACCATAATTTTCATGGAAATTTTATGTTTTATTGACCAATGGAAAATCTGGTTAGTACTCTGGTGAAGTAAGGCAGACTGGACATGCTGCTACAAACAGTTTCCATGGGATTAATTAAACATTTGATCAATTCAGAAATTGAATTATTTAAAGACCTGAACAAAAAATCAACTTTTACTGTCTTCTCAAATTATTTTTTTTTTTAGTTTTTTTTCCCTTTAATTTCAAAATAAGAAGAGACCTTACTGGTACAGTTTTAATTTTCCAGATCCAAAATAAAAAAAAATAAATAATTCTGATATAATTGTTACACTGTACTGTATGCTAATTCTATTGAAGATTATTGTTTAAAACCTCCTGCCATGATATAATCTTGTACTTTATCCATCTTATTATACACCCCACAAAGTTTTTGAGGTGATTAAATAATAGGTATCACCCTGTCTGTCTATCCGCCCATAAAAACAAAACAAATTGTCCTATCAAATCAATGTAATTATCTGCCCTTGATTTTAATAGTTTTTTTTTTCTAAAAAATTTAGATACGCTTAATCACACTTAATTTTTTGATAGTTTGATCTACCTTTCAAGCTAAAGATGTTCCAGTCGTATAATGAATTATACTTGATAAAATATTTTTAAACCAAAAAAGGTATTTTTTGCAACATGTCCAAACTGGAAGATCAGAAACGAAGACACCATTCCAAATTGAGTTTAATATATCAAAAGAAAAGCCAGGTCATCTTGTGGAAATGTGATCAAAACAGTTTAAACTTATTTTTTTTCATTTAGAATGAATGTTTATTTCTATAATTGAACCAGATTTTGTGAATTTTACTTGAAAGCCATTTCATTTTAGGTTTATCAAGACTAATCTTAGTGCTTGCCATACAAGTGTCAAAGAGTGAAGGGCAAGAACAATTTTAAAGAACAGAGAAGACTTGTTTTATTGCACTTAGTTTTGAGTTTTTGTTTTATATTTTACCACTATGATAGAGTAATGTAACATTCAGGAAATGTATTGTTCTGATATATCTGTTTTATAATTTCTCCTTTTCATATGCCCGTTTACGGGACGTATTATGGTATACCATTGACCGTCTGTCCGTCCGTCCGTCCGTAGTCAACATGTCGGACATTAACTCAAAAATGCCTTAACCAATATGCATGAAACTTTGGTGAATTGTTTATATCTATTCACGTGAGCTCCCTTTCATTTTTTATAAATTTTGGATTTACCGTTTCCGAGTTTTGTGGGTTTTATTCATTAAAAAAGGGGGAATTTTCCGGTTTTTGGACAATAACTCAAAAACAATTTCACCAATTTGCAAGAAACTTTGGTGAATTGTTTATTTCTATCGACATGAGCTCCCTTTTGATTTTTATAAATTTTAGACTAGACGTTTCTGATTTATGGGGTTTTATTCATTACAAAAAGGGGGATTTTCCAGTTTTCTGACAATAACTCAAAAATGCTTTCAGCATTTTTTATGAATCTATGGTAAATTGTTTATATCTATTGTTGTAAGCTCCCTTTTGATTATTATAAATTTAAGATTTTACGTTTCCAAGTTATAAGATTTTATTCATAAAAAAGGGGTGATTTTCAAGTTTTTGGACAATATCCTTAAACTGCTTATAGCAGTTTTCATTAAACTTTGATGACTGATTTATATCTATTAAGATAACCTCCCTTTAGGTTTTTATAAATTTCTGATATAACATTGAGAAGTTATTGTTTGTTTATAGTCTGACAAAAGATTTACTAAGTATTGCTCAACAGCACAGTGTATTGCACAACAGCAAGAAATCTTTAATTGAATATAAATTTAATTCATATAACCAATTTCAAGTTCTTTGACTACATTTATTCAGAAACCTATAATATGTCAAATATTTAATTACAATCCAAATTCAGACCTGTATCAAGCTTGAATATTGTGTCTATTTTTGCCCCAGCTGTTCAGGGTTGGACCTCTGCGGGCGTATCCAGCTGCGCTCAGCGAAGCAGTTTATTAGAAATGTGTTAGATGTTTTTTTATACCTTTTCCTACTTGAGTACCATTGACAACTACTTTCTTTAATTTTTTTATTTCCTAATATTAAGATGTCATTCTTGAATACCTAATATTTTGTAGGTATGAACTGGTTTTTTTTCTTCTTGATATGTGTAGTATAAATCCCCCCCGCCCCAATTATGTTTAGTTTTGAAAAAAATATATATACCATAAGGACTGTCCACTATGGATGCCTCTCTAAATAAAGATAAGAGAATCTTGGCATACATTAAATACAAATTTCTAAAAAAAAAATTATGAAGACTCCATACAAAAAAACTTTGGAAAGTGTCACACCAGTGATTCTTTTTGTATAATTCAGGTTAGTTCTAAATCTCATTTTTCATTGGGGATTTTCTTCATTGTATAGAGGATGCATTTATCATCTAGTTTAATATACCTCACAATGTGATTTTTAAATGTTGTAAATACAGAAAAACATACATAATGATTATGATATGCTAATACTTCATTATTGCAAATAATTTTACTTTAAATACTTCATTATTACAAATTATTTTACTTTAAATTATGATGAATATTTAAACTGGAATTGACTATTCACATTTTATGCTCGTTGATTGTTGACATTATGTGTTGAAAAACAGAAAGAAGTCAAAGGACTAAGAGTTACAAGACAGAAAGTCAAAAAATCACAATTTATTAATTTACAATTATTTAAATGTATAAAAGGAAATGCATTAAATATTGTCTCTTTCTAAGATAAATTGCTTGTGCATTATTAATTTTTGAAAATGGTAAATTTGTTAATAATGTGTTTGGTCTATAAATTATAAAAGATTAAAATGTCAATTGAATTAGTCTTCCTATTAAAAAAAAAATCTCTCAAAACCACATAGTGACCTCTTGCTCTATATTTTTTAATTGGTTACTTTTTTGTCTATTTTGTTTTATACCATAATATTATGCATGATAAATATAATTTGTGCTTTATGCATGTCACTAATGTATAGATAATTTTCTTTAAATGTTGTGTAAACTTTATTTAGGTATTTATGGTAATGTATTCATTTACCTATAAACAAATTTAGAAAAATTAAAAGTTTTATAATAAAGAACAAAACTAATTAAAACATTTTTTGATTGATTTTTTATCCAATATGTATATTAAAAGGAAAGCTGTTCCAATAATAGATATGGTGTTTAAATATAACTTGCATGATATAGAAAATAAAACTGCAAAAGATAGAAAACAAGAGAGAAAATTGCTTCAAGAGGGTTGTACTGTCATATTCAAATTCACATTTCCTGTTTACAGAAGGAATGCAATATAAAGCCTGCATTGGACTTAGTATTGTAGCTAAGCATGTTTGAAATGATTTTTTATTAAATGATGACTACTATTTTAACTAAGTAAAACTAGATCAGGGTACAATCTGTGTGAATTATGTGGGTTTCTTAGAAAGGGTCTACATGTATACATGTATGTATTGTCAGTGATTCTTAGATATTCTCAGTATGTTATGTCTAGTTCCAAGATCTAGTCTGAATGTATTTTTCCAATATTCAAACATGCAGCGTGTATGCTGTTTCTATGGTTCTTAGATACAGTCTATGCAATATGTAATGGTTTTAAATTATGATACATGGCTTTATCATGTTACAGGATCATTTTTCTTAAAACACCTTTCATTTCAGTTTTTGTCTGTATAAAGCTTTATATTTCAAAAGTTAGAAGACCTAGATGCTGCAGATACCATATGTTACGAAATTTCCCTCTGTCAAATGTCCATTGTCCTCAGCCTCATTTTCATGGTTCAGCATCTGCTTAAAGAAAAACAATGTTTGTCATGTGAATTTTTTACATACTATGAGTAATAGGATAACTTTATTTGGTATATGGGTTCCTTGCAATGTCTACATTTCAGTCAGACAGGGTTCTTCTGACCTTGACCTCATTTTATGTTAAAGTTATGTGATCTGATCCATTTCTAAAATACTGGAAGCATTATGTCAATTATAGGTTGTGTATGTAATGATTGTAAGGGGTACATGTCAGTCCAGCAGGTTTCATCTGACCTTGATCTAATTTTCATGATTCACTGGTCAATGTTAAGTTTTTAGCTCACTGTTCCAAAGGAACTGTGAGCTTTTGCCATCACTTGGCGTCTGTTGTCGTCGTCTGTTGTCGTCGTCGTCGTCCGTCTGGTGTAAAATATTTCAAACATCTTCTCCTTTGAAACTACTGAACCAATTCCTACCAAACTTTAGCTGAATGATCCTTAGGGTATCTAGAATAAAGTTTGTGTTTTATTTTTTGTTTCGTCTAAAAACATGGCCGCCATGGCTAAAAATAGAACATAGGGGTAAAATGCAGTTTTTGGCTTCTATCTCAAAAACCAAAGCATTTAGAGCAAATCTGACATGGGGTAAAAGTGTTCATTAGGTCAAGTTCTATCAGCCTCGAAATTTTGAGATGAATCTGATAACCCATTGTTGGGTTGCTGCCACTAAATTGGTAATTTTAAGGAAATTTTGCAGTTTTTGGTTATTATTTTGAATATTATTAATGATAAAGATAAACTTAACAGCAAAAATGTTCAGCAAAGTAAGATCTACAAATAAGTTGATATGACCAAAATTGTCAATTGACCCCTTAAGGAGTTATTGCATTTTGAGGAAAATTTTTCACAATTTGTTTATCATGTTATCTTACTTTAAAAAATCTTCTCCTCTGAAACTATTAAACCAATTCCAACCAAACTTAAGCTGAATGATTCTGAGGGTATCTATAATAAAGTCCATGTTTTATTTTCTGTTTCGTCAAAAAACATGGCCGCCACCGCCATGGGTAAAATTGAACATAGGGGTAAAATGCAGTTATTAGCTCACCTGGCCCAAAGGGCCAAGTGAGCTTTTCTCATCACTTGGCGTCTGTCGTCCGTAAACTTTTACAAAAATCTTCTCCTCTGAAACTACTGGGCCAAATTTAACCAAACTTGGCCACAATCATCATTAGGGTATCTAGTTTAAAAAATGTGTCCGGTGACCAGGCCAACCAACCAAGATGGCCGCCATGGCTAAAAATAGAACATAGGGGTAAAATGTAGATTTTGGCTTATATCTATGAAACCAAAGCATTGAGAGCAAATCTGGCATTGGGTAAAAATGTTTATCAGGTCAAGGTCTATCTGCCCTCAAATTTTCAGATGAATTGGACTACCCGTTGTTAGGTTGCTGCCCCTGAATTAGTAATTTTAAGGAAATTTTGCCATATTTGGTTATTATCTTGAATATTATTATAGATAGAGATAAACTGTAAACAGCAATAATGTTCAGCAAAGTAAGTTCTACAAATAAGTCAACATGACCAAAATGGGCAGTTGACCCCTTAAGGAGTTATTGCCCTTATATAGTCAATTTTTCGTAAATTTTTGTTATCTTTTACAAAAATCTTCTCTGAAACTACTAAGATGAATTTAACCAAAGTTGTAAACAATCATCATTAGGGTATGTAGTTTAAAAATTGTGTCTGATGGCCCCGCCTGCGAACCAAGATGGCCGACATGGCTAATAATAGTACATAGGGTAAAATGCAGTTTTTTACTCATATATCTAAACCCAAAGCATTTCGAGCAAATCTTTCAAAAACAAAACTGTTCATTAGGTCAAGATCTATCTGCCCTTAAATTTTCAGACCATTCAGGCAACCCGTTGTTGGGTTGCTGCCCCTGAATTGGTAATTTTTAGAAATTTTTTCAGCTTTTGGTTATTATCTTGAATATTATTATAGATAGAGATAATCTGTAAACAGCAATAATGTACAGCAAAGTAAGACCTACAAATAAGTCAAGATGACCAAAATGGTCAATTGACCCCTTAAGGAGTTATTGCCCTTTATAATCAATTTTTAACAATTTTCATAATTTTTGTAAATTTTTACAAAATAATTTCCACTGAAACTACTGGGCCAAGTTCATTATAGATAGAGATAATTGTAAGCATCAAGAATGT